ACCTGGACCCAGCCAGCCCCCAGCACACACACACACACAAACACACACACATCTACCAGAGAGGCACAATTTGCTGAAGCAGCACTTTACTGCTTGTGATATATTAACACATGCACAAGCACACACACACGGCATACACACACACATGCACGCACGCACGCACATGCACACACCAGATGCAACCCTCAAAACTGATTTCACGGCCCACTCATGGACCAGGGCTACGGTTAAAATTATCTGTCAAGGGGCGCCTGGGTGGCTCAGTGGGTTAAGCTGCTGCCTTCGGCTCGGGTCATGATCTCGGGGTCCTGGGATCGAGTCCCGCATCGGGCTCTCTGCTCAGCGGGGAGCCTGCTTCCTCCTCTCTCTCTGCCTGCCTCTCCGTCTACTTGTGATCTCTCTCTGTCAAATTAAAAAAAAAAAAAAAATTATCTGTCAAACTGCGGCCCAAGGTCACCCAAGATCTTTGCAGAGTCAGGACTAGAACGTGGTATCTAGTTCCCAATACTTCTCATTATTGAATTCCAATTAATAGAATGCTAGCCCAGTTGAGTGCAGAGGGAGCATCTGATGGTCTGGGTACGAAGTCACTTCCGCTAGTCAGGGTCTAACTGCGCATTTCTCCGAGCGCTCAGGAGACAGAGCGGAGGCTCTGGGTCTCGGCTGTGGCCATCAGTTCTCACTGAGCCAGTGGAGTCTCAGGTAGCCAGGCTCCCCTCACGCCCAGGCTTTCTGTATTCACCTAAGTCTGCCTCCTGGCTGTGGTTCCCTGCTCACTCCCTGGGTGTCTCTGATGTAAGGCAGCGGGGACAGACACAGCAGCGTGCCTGGGGTCTTACACAGGGTACACTCACCGGGCACACCCCCTGTGCCAGACCCTGTGCCAAGCAAGGAAAGGCGAACCGGCAGCAGGGAGGCACAGGCCCCCCGTCCCGGGGAGCTCGGGCTCTGGATCTGTACGGTCCCAGGTTCAAATTTCCACTCTGCTTCTCTTGGGTGTGTGGTCAAGGTTTCATGCTTGGCCTCAATGGACTTGCCCATGAGGCGGGATTGTGACACCTGCCTGTCAGGTTGTTGGGAGGATGAAGGGACATAACCTGTGGGAAGTCCCCGGCACGTGGCAGGTGGTCAGTAAGTGGTAGCTTTCATGATTATTACGACTGATAAGAAAAAAAAGCAACTCACAGATAAAAGGAGAGGAGACAACATCCCAGGAGAGAAGCAGCAGCAAGAACAGAGGCAGAGTGGAACCCACAGGGCAAAATGGGAGGCGTGGAGATCTGGGGAAGTGGGGAATGGTTGGGAGATCGAGTGGAAGGGCAGCACAGCCAGCCACGGAAAGACCTTGAACATCAGCCTGAAGAACACGGCAATGGGGAGCCACTGAGGGCCTTAGAGGGAGGGAGTGGCACAATTAGGAGTATGTGAAAGAAAAGATGGATTAAGGACCCTTGACTGATAGCAACAAACTCCACCGGGGCTTGGCTTATGCCATGGTGGTGAGCTTTCTGAGTTCAGCAGGGAAGGGTATGGTCACCATCCTAAGAGGCCTCCAAGAGGTGGCAGGACTTCAAGGGAGGCTCTTGCCACCTGAGTGGGATAGGATGGTTCTCTCTGACAGCAGCAGAGGGGAGCACTCTTATGCTGGCACAGGTCCGGAGAGCAAGTGTCAGAAACAGATGTGACAGGGTGACCAGAAGTTGGCCTCCTGTCTGGTCAGGTTCTGGACACATGGAGCAGTCTGGAACCTCATCCCAGGGGCAAGCCAGATGCAGGAAGACTACACCCCCTTGCTAGACATCGGGGCACCGAGCTATCTCCCCTGGCTCCTGACTGTGTCTCATTCATTCATCTGATCATTCAGCCCCTTACTCAGTCAGCACATACTTGTGACGCCCCTGCTGTGTGCCAGGCACGCCGCTATGCCCCGGGAAGCGGGCTCTATCAACCAGGATTTGATCGGGGCCCCAGAACAGCAAGGAGATTCCGATATAAAAAATCAGGAACTTTTAGGACACCTGGGTGGCTCAGTTGGTTAATCGGCTGCCTTTGGCTCAGGTCATGATCCCAGCGTCCTGGGATCGAGTCCCGCATCGGGGTCCTTGCTCAGCAGGGAGCCTGCTTCTCCCTCTGCCTCTGCTGCCACTGTGCCTGCCTGTGCTCTCTCTCTCTCTCTCTCTGACAAATAAATAAATAAATAAAATCTTTTAAAAAAAATCAGGAACTTTTTACGGGGATTGGACTTCCATGATTGTGGGTGCCAGTCAAAAAAAAAAAAAAACAAAACAAAACGTTCTATGAGAGGCTGTTTCTTGTTCTGCTGGTGGCTGCTGTTGGAATCCTGTGGCCCAAGCGACAGGGCGAACTGAAACGGCAGGGATGAGTGGAACCCGTGAGGATAGTCCCGGATGCCCTTCACCATCTCATCGCCTCCAATGGGAGGAGCTAAAGCAGGTGGCCCGGCAGGACCCGGAGCGGCTGCGGTCCTGGTACTTCCTGACACCGGCACCATGAGACAGCCCATACAGGACAACAGGTGTCAGCCGCGACAGGTGTTTATCTCACGCAGAACATCTCCAGAGACCCACACCAGCCTGGGATTCTGCGGGGATGGAATTTCTGGGAAATGCAGTTTCCACAGAGCCAAGGGACGTATGATAGATCTAGGACAGTCTGCCCCTTGGGGGGGGGGCCTCGCCATTTTGAGACATGACTTCCCTGATGGTTCTCCTGTCACCCCAGAGCTAGTCAAATAAGAGAATTAGAGAGAACACTTCCTCCCAGGTTTTGGTGATTCCTGGATTTCATCATTTCCCCCAGAGATGTTCACGGCAGCGAGACGGAGTCTGGACCAGTCACCATGGAGGACCCAATGGGGTCCCCCTCTCCAGAGGATGAAGCTAGAGCTCCAACTGGCCTAACCACCCAGGGACTGCCTCTGTTATCCAAGACAGTTAGAACAGAGAGGAACCTGGCCCTCAGGTGGAATCCAGGGGACCATCCTGAGAACCCCTAATACGGACGAGTCCCTGAACCACCCAAGGTTCTGTGTTCTCTCTGTGTGGGCCGGAGTAGAAGACAGTGGAGTTAGCGATCAGAGTCTAGAGCTTAGAACCAAGATCTAAGATCTAACTCTACCTTCTGCTGTTGATGTGCTGTGTGACTTTGAGAAAGTCTCCTAACCTCTCTGCACCTCAGTTTTCTAGTAGATTAAAAAAAGGTCCCCCCACGGGTCCTTCCAGTTCAAGCCCATCTCAGCCTGTGGTGTTGCTTCCCCAACCTCGCAGCCTCCCTTGTTCACAAACACCTGCCTGCGCCCGTCTGAACACTGGTGCCCCAAGCTGGGATGCCCAGAGAGGACAGCCTGTCCTGCAGGACCTAGCACCAAGGCCACCCCCGCCTGCCACCTGACCCTGACGGAAGGCGGGAGAACCAGGGTTGGGGTCTCTTCTCCCTCAGCCAGGATATCCACAACTGGGGAGAGATGGCATCAGAGCAAAGTTTCTGACTCTCCAACAGTCCTATTTAACTTTGGACTTAGGACGTGGTTTTGATTAAAAAAAAATTATTTTTTGATGATCAAATGGGACGTTTGAACCCCATTCCGTGAAACTCTGTCAAATACAGACGCAAACTTTTCTAAGACATTAGGAGTCATTTCATAAAATTAAATTTTATTTTGGAAACGTTCAGCGTTGGAATTTTTAAATATAGATCCCATTTATCATACGGTTATTTTGGGGCTTGTCGGCATAAGGAAACCAAAGGTCCTTTCTTGGAAGGGACTCTCCTCTGTTTTGGAATGTGCGCTTTCTTCCTGCAACCATGGCATTAGAACATCCTTTCTTTGATGAATCAATAGATGAGGTGGGTTTTTTTTTTTTTTTTAGAGTCCTTGCTTGGTAAAAATAAACCCCTCCTCTGAACCCTATTTTTTTTTTTTTTTTAGAAAAAAACAGATTTTTTTTAAAAGATTTATTTATTTATTTGACAGACAGAGATCACAAGTAGGCAGAGAGGCAGGGGGTAGGGGGTGGGAAGCAGGCTCCCTGCTGAGAGGAGAGCCTGATGCTGGGCTCGATCCCAGGACCCCAGGATCATGACCTGAGCCGAAGACAGAGGCTTTAACCCACTGAGCCACCCAGGGCCCCCCCCATTTTTTTTAATGTCCTTCTCTATGACATTCCAGAACCTCAGCGTTCCTGTGTCAGCACCCAGGTGGCCTCTGGATTACCCACTTACATTACGTGAAACGTTCTCATTTCTTTCTTTCTTTCTTTTTTTTTTAATTTTTTTTATTTTTTGATAAACATATAATGTATTATTAGCCCCAGGGGTACAGGTCTGTGAATCTCCAGGTTTACACACTTCACAGCACTCACCATAGCACATACCCTCCCCAATGTCCATAACCCAACCACCCTCTCTCGACCCCCCCTCCCCCCAGCAACCCTCAGTTTGTTTTGTAAGATTAAGAGTCTCTTATGGTTTGTCTCCCTCCTGATCCCATCTTATTTCATTTATTCTTTTCCTACCCCCCAAACCCCCCATGTTGCATCTCCACTTCCTCGTATCAAGGAGCTCATTTCTTTTTTAAAAGAAACTGGAAGTCAGAGAGGTTTGGTAACAAGCCTGAGACCACACGGCTGGAGAAGCCAGTGCTGGGATTTGACCGTGACCCTCGCTGGCCCAGAAGCCCAAGCTGGCATGATTCCCAAGCATCTTCTTCCCACCTCCTCAAGGAAGAATGAAACCCAGTGCTTGGCTGGAGAGGCCCCCCCCAAGGTGTAAGGAGATGAACTCCAAAGGAGACTTGGATCTGGTCCCTGAAAAGTTTCTCTTTTTTTTTCTTTTTTTAAGATTTTATTTATTTTTTTGACAGAGAGAGAGATCACAAGCAGGCAGAGAGGCAGGCGGGGGCGGGGGGAAGCAGGCTCCCTGCTGAGCAGAGAGCCTGACACGGGCCTCGATCCCAGGACCCTGAGACCATGACCTAAGCTGAAGGCAGAGGCTTAACCCGCTGAGCCACCCAGGTGCCCCTGATCCCCTAAAAGCTTCTATTTATGAACCCACACTCTCTGTTCCTGAGAGTCTACGGTAGAGTTGGGTTCCAGAGCCCCAGTGGCAGAGGGAGAAGAGGTGCGGGCAATTCCCCGGAGCAGAGGAAAATGCCTGTGTGATTTTGTCTTAAAAATAAATTTTATTTAATATTTGTATGGTACACTCTCTAGAGGGTGGTGGTGAGAATCCAAGATTGCAGAAACTGAAAAGTAAATGCATCTTCCTGGATTGGGGGGTGGTGCTGTCTTCAGGGTAAGGGGGAGATAGCCGGCCCGGAGCTAGGGGTGAGCTCACAAGTGGAGGTCAGGGACCCTGACCTTACCATGTCCTACCAGCAGAGTCCCTCTCCTGGGACTCTGTGCAGCATGAAGAGTGGCCATGGGGCTCCTCTGAGCCCCGTGGGCCATGGAGAGAGAAGGAGGGCCGAGATCAGGAGCCTCTCTCAAGAGCCCAGCAGCAAAGAGCCCAGCAGCATGAGTGAGCTCCGTGATATAGGAGAAGGGAAAAAAAGCCTCTGTCAGCAGAAGACTTGGGGAAAGTATAAGTAGCAAGTGTTGTAGCTCCTCAGGTTCCTCTTCAGACAGTGGGCAAGCTTCTGGTCACAGGTGCAGAGCTGCTGTTGGCAGAAGGACCCGGACCCTGCAGACAGGACACCAAATGCACAGTGAGGAAGGGAAGGTGGGCTCGACCAACAATGCCCCTCGGGCTTACTTCCAGTCTGAGCGGACTCCCCAATCTGCTTCCTGGCCCAGGAAGCTCTCAGTCTGTTGAGGGAGGCACAGCTTCCAAACTGGGAAGTGTGGGATCTGATGGAAGAGGCACAGCTCCTGGCCCAGGGAGAGGTTTTGGCCCCCTGCCCTCCAGGAGTCCCCAGTCTGGTGGTAGAGACCCCTTTTCTGCCCTTGGGAGTCCCCAGTCTGAGGGTGGAGTCAGCCCCTGCTCCGGAGGAACTCCAGCTCTCCTAGAGGAGACACCACCCCCAGACTTAGCTCTGAACTCAGATGGACGTGAGCTTGAATCCCAGCTGTAGCTGTGTGCACTGGCAAGGCTCTGAGTTCCAGTTTCCTCATTTGTAAAACAGGAAGACTAAACACGCCTCAAAAGGTGTTTGGGGGAGCAAGTAAATGGAGGTGTGCGAAGCGTTTGACACCTAGTGAATGCTCAGTCTGCGACGTTTCAGCCCTTGCCTCCCTTGCCCCCCAGCTCTGCCCTCCAAGGTATAGGCTGGCTAACATCTAGGGGCAGCTGAACTCAGAACCAGAAAAGACCCAGGTTCTATCACTGGCCCGAATGGGAAGCCCCAGTCTTACCGCAGGTGACCAGTCCCCGTGCAAATCTGTATGTATATGGCTGTGTCCAGATTTGGCAGCCTTTCTCCTCCAGCCGCCCATAACAGTGATCATGCACCCAACAGCACCTGTCATTGCAAGAGGCATAGATCCTGAGCAGAGGGGGCACGTCACTTTAGCAGGGGCCACCTAGGTAGGTGTGGTCTGGCAAAGAAAGAATCTAGGGATATGGCTAAATACTTCTCTGCTCTTCCACTGAGGCTGCCTGCCATCGGCAAGGGGTTCACTGACCCCCTCTTTCCTCCAGGAAAGCCTACGTGAGCCTACATTTCCCAGCCTTCCTTGCAATTGGGTGTGGCCACATGACTTGGCTCCCACCAGGGCATCACGGGCAGAAGGGATGCCCACCACTTCCAGATCCACCCATGAAACCCTCCCACACTGTCCTCCATCTCTCAGCTGGATGGCAATAACCCTGCAGGGGACCCTGAGGCCACAGGGGATGGCAGATCCACAAGATGGAAGGAACCTGGGTCCTGGAATTCACACGTGATTCACATGGAACTGTTATGTGAGCAAAAAACAAACTTCCAGTATGTGAGGTGCGTCCAATGGCATTTTTCGTGTGTGTGTTGATTTACAGAAAAATAAACAAGGTCGTACAGAGTGTTCCCTTTTACCCCACACCCAGTTCTTCCCATCATTAACATCTTATACAATACACTTGTTACAATTAACAAACCAATGTTGATGTCACTGACTAAGTAATCAGCTAAATCATAACACAGCATTATTGATTCATTAATTATAAAAAGTCCATAGTTCATTTAGGTTTCCTTAGTTTTTACCTAATATATTTTCCTACATGAGGATCCCATCCAGGACACCTCATTACGTTTAGTGGACACGTCTCATTAGGCTCCTCTTGGCTGTGACCGTTGCTCACACTCTCCTTGACTTTGATAACCTTGATGTTTGGAGGATGATGGGGAGGTATTTTGTAGGATGCCCCTCTATGGGTTTTGTCTCATGTTTTTCTCACGATAAGACTGGGGCGATGGGGGCGCCTGGGTGGCTCAGTGGGTTAAAGCCTCTGCTTTCGGCTCAGGTCATGATCCCAGGGTCCTGGGATCAAGCCCCACATCGGGCTCTCTGCTCAGCAGGGAGCCTGCTTTCCTTCCTCTCTCTCTGCCTGCCTCTCTGCCTACTTGTGGTCTCAGTCTGTCAAATAAATTTTTTTTAAAAAATTAAAAAAAAAAAGTCTGGGGTGATGGGTTTATTTTGCTTCTCTAATTACTCCAGCTTTGACCAATGGGAGCCCTTCCCATTGGCTCCTGTGCTCCCTCACCTATCTCTATCAAGGGAGAACTTCCTTATCTTTTGGCCTTATAGGAGACTCCAGACTCATCCTGTATATTTTCTGCCTTGGTCCTAGAACCAGTCAGGTCTCCAAGGAGCCTTGGTTCCCCTTTATGGCGAATAGTGTTAGAGACCGCGTCTGGGCACTAGGAGTTGCTGACTGCTCTTGGGATGCTGTTTCATTTAGTCCTCTCAGCTGCCAGAGCAAAATAAATGTGTCTCTATCAACCCATGTTTGTACACACGTCTGTACCTATTTCTGTATGCAACCACCTGCTAAACAGGAGTTCATACCGACGTCCTCATCTCCAATCCATTGCCCCAGAAGCGAACTCCAACAGTGGAAAACTTGGCTCCCACCATCTGCCATCCATTTGCTCAACGGACCTACACCATCATCCACATCAGGAGTCTCAGAATTTTCCAAAGAACCGTCTCTCTGTCTCACATGTTCTAGAATTTGGACACTTCCCAATCAAGAAATGGAACCTAGGTCCCTTTCCTTCCAAAGTCTTTGTGACTGCCTCCACCAATGGACACCATAGAATTTCTGAGGCTAAACCCTTTTTCATGCAGTCTTGGGACACTCAGTCTTGGAACCCCATGGTCACTGTTCTGTGGGGAAGTCCCAACAGCCTTGGAGAGGCCTAAGTGACAGGAATCGAGGCCCCCAGCCCACAGCCTCCACTGAGGCCCCAGCCAGCAGCCAGAAGACATGGGAGCGAGCCATCTGGAAACTGGATAGTGCAGCCTTCTTCGAGCTGCCCAAGCAGAAACTGGGGGGAACAGGGACAAGCTATCCCACCAAGCCCTGCCCCGAAGGCAGATTTGTAGCAAAATAAATGGTCATGTTCACTTACAGCCACTACACTTTGGGGTGATATGTACATAACAACGGACCAACTGACACGCATGGTCACTGAGAAGCATGACGTTTCTAGATGTGTCTTGGGCAAGTCAGTTAGCCCCCCGGATACACAATTTTCTCCCAACATGGCCCTTGAACACTCATCTTCCAAAACTGACACGGAATTACTCGAGATCATGTGGGCACAGAGGCTGAGCATAAAAGATTATCATGGTAATCAGCTCACCAATCGGTGCCGTCCTTGGGGGTCCCCTGACCGCCCAAGCCGCAGTAGCAGCCATAGAAGCCATAGCTCATCAGGGCATCCTTCTTGGTCACCTCCTCAATCATGGACTTGAGCTCCAGCAAGCCCCCGGGCACAGCAGGAACACCTGGAAGACAGCCCCCGGCCCCCGGGGAACACGCTTATTATCGGGCATGCACCTGCCCCTGCCCCCACCCTGGGGCTTGTGGGGACCCAGGCATCTCCTTCTCCCCATTAGTGTGACAGGAGCAAGAAGGGGGAGGCAAGCAGTAGAGCTAAATGTCTGGACTTGGAGAATGAGAACCGTGGGTTCAAATCTTGCCTCTGCCACTCATTTCACAGCATGAGGTTGAGTGTGTCACTGAATCTCTCAGAGCCTCTGACTTCTCATCTGGAAATGGGGTGGGGTGGGAGGGCCCAAAGTGAATGCCTACATTTTAGACTTATCCTAAGGGTTGAAATGAGAGAAAGTATGTGTCTTTTCTAGGCAGAGAAAGTATGTGAATTTCACTAGGCAGACACCTAGTGAACGACCAAGAAATAGGAGGTCTAATTAATACGGTACCTTTCTCTCCTGATGATGCCATGTCCCTCCTCACAAATATACCATTTAGGACATAAGGCCCAGGACCTTAGCAAGGTGGGATCCCTCCAGATCATTGAAGCCAGCTCCCTTGCCTTCCAGATTGGGAATCAGTAGTTTGGAGGGAAAGGTTCAGGGTTTCACAGAGAGCCAAGTGTTCCCTCCCTGCACTAGATCTCCACCCTCTGCTCTCCGGCAGTCTCCAGGGATCTGGCAAGACATTAAAGATTAGGCCAGCCTGTTGGGGTGCTGTGCACGTGGTAACGGGGCTCCTCTGTGCTGTGCCAGTTCTCCCCAGCTGGGAGGTGGTAGCAGGGGGGACCAGCCTCTGCAGAGAATGACCCAGGACGGAACAGTTACAGATGGGTCTTGTTCTCATTTGGGTTTTATTTTGTTTCGTTTTGCACCAAAGGAAAAAATATGCCTCCCACATTTGCAAGCTGCCTGTTGTCTCCGTAGCCCAGTCTTCACCCGTCACCACCTGAAATCGTGTGACAGCCCCATCGGGGGGCTGCATATCACCCTGGGTCACAGAGGAGGACACAGAGGCTCAGAGCCGAGATTCAAACTCAAGTCTCCCCAACCTCAAAGACTAGCCTCCTTTCCACTACCCTATTGTTCCTAGAGGTGAAAGGTCACAAGTTCAGAGGTCATGGGGCCAGCACTTACTACAAATGAGGAACCAAGCCAGTGGGAGAAGGCCGTTCATCTCTGGGATTCTGGAAAAGAAAACACATCCCGTGACATGTCTCTCAGGGGATGCATTCGGACCCTACTTCTGGGTCCCCGCCAGACCCTACACACTCCTGTTGGGGAGCATGTGGGTGACCTCAGTCAGGAAAGAGGCAAAAACCTTAAGGAGTTGATCCCAGGGTCACGAGCCCTCATGGGGTACTGTCCCCCATAGAGGCAGGAGAGGACTTTCCCACCATAAAAGCCCCAACACAATAGCGCGCTCTGCAGACCATGTGCCCACCCGTCGGGGCCTTGTTGTAGTTGGTGGGTCTAGAGCACTTTTGCCTTCACAGGCCCCCTCCTCCAAAAAAAAAAATTCTTTCAAGTGCTATTTTACAACTGTGTTGGCATGGAAACGAACCCAGTCCAGGCTGAATGTGGTATTATTACCTATTCGTGACTCTTACATTCAGTTTTTTTTTTCCTCCTGATCCTAAGAGTTCAAGTTCAGACATTTCCATGGGCCCCAGGCACTGTGCCTACCTAAGAAATAAGTCGACCCGAGGTACGTATGAGGGCTTCAAAAGGTAGGTGTCCTTGTTCCCATTGAGAGCTCATATGGAGCTCGTGGAGAAAAAGGAGTCTCAAAGGGCTCATGGAACTTGCCAGAAGCCATGCAGCTAGTAAGAAGCAGAGGAAGGGCTCAAAGCCAGGCCCATGCACCTCTAATGGCAGGACACAGCCTCCTGTCATGGAGAGTGAGTTGCCCTTTGAGCCATGGAGCCTGGAGACCCCAGCTTCCCTCCCCAGCACCTGCCTTCGGCAAACATCTGCCTCACCCACTTGAGTCCCGAAAAGTCACACCCAGAAGGCAGAAGAAATTCCATGTGTCTTGGGCCAGTGCCTGATTCAAACTTGGCCTCTCAGAGGTTCTTTACCGGCAACTGCCTGTTTCCCTTCCCTTCCCTTCATTTCCCCAGAATCCTTGTTTATCCACAGCTGCTCGTTTGGCTGATGGTTTGCCAGGATTTCCCTTTCGGTGCCCAGCTGTCTCTGATCCCTGAGTCTAGAGGTCACTTGTGCAGTGCTCGGCCCTGAGCCCCTGGCACCACCCGAGGCCTGGCTCCAAGCACACACAAGCTTCTGCTCCCCGGGGCTTCTGGCTACCGGGCTGGCCTCTCCCGACCGCCCTTTGTCCAGCAGCACCTCTGAGTTCCAAGAACATTCCTCAGGATTCTGTCCATCCATGGCCTCTGGCCCGAGAGCTCTAACCAGCCAAGGGAAAAGGCTCTAGATCCTATCCTTCCACACTAGTCTTCCTCGGCTGCTTCCCAGAGCAGCAACAGGAGGAGGGGGCCAGCCACCACGCACGGGGCATCCACAGCGTGCCGGGTTCTGTCCCCTGTCGCTTCAAGCCTGCCGAGGACCCTGCCAGGTGACTATTGTTAAACCTTCTGGCATGGTGTCTGTCCCTTCAACTTGTTGAATGAAGGGATAGCAGTCGTTGATCCCACGGATGGGGAAAATGAGGCTCAGGCAGGGGGACGTGAGCTACCCAATGATTCAGCCCAGGACTGTGAATCTACTCTTCTCACTGTCTCTGAGCAGCCCCTGTGAACTATTCTCGGTGTCCCTTTTCCATATTTGATGATGCTTTGATGTCCTGTGGATGCTTTGCCGGCCCGGGAAGACACAGTCCCTCCTGGGAGTAGCTAATTCCTAGAGGGAACAGAAGACCCCTGGGAGCATGGCTTCCATACAAGCAAACCAGCCAGTCCACAACTCACACCCGAACCCCTCTATTGAGCTCTTCCACTCCCAGCCAGCATTTCCACTGCCCTAAATCACCCCGGGGCCAGGAAGCAGGCAGCTGGGGATACCCTCACCCCTGCAGCCCAGAATCCGCTGAAATCCTTTGAGCCGGCCAGTCCCGAACTGTTTCCCCTGCTCTGCCCTGCCTTGCCCATGGAAAACACAAGAAAGGCTCTGGGCTGAGCTTGCTCTCATTTCTTCTGCCTGCTGATCAGCCCTGGTGCTTCCCCATGTGGCCCTGACCATGCCGTGGGTCCCCTTCTTTCAGAAACCGTAAATAACAGACTGTCTTCTAAATGGCGCCCCGCTCCCCATCTCTTGGCCTCACCACACCTGAAAGGAACCAAACTCCCAGGCAGGTTTTAGAGCACCTTGGGACGGGCCCACTGGTGCAGGGAATAGTGCGAGGCCCCGTGGGAAGGGATCTGATGCAGAGAGGTCTCACCGAGGAGGCGACCGAGGCATAGACACAGCCGCCCCAGTGGCCGGGAAAGTGGCCCATCTCTGGAGCTCAGAGCCAGCCCCCAGGAGAAGGATGTGGAGCTGGCTATTTTTATCAAGCGACCACAGAGGGAAATGAGCACAGCCGTGAGATAATTTTGGAGTAAAGTGGTGGCTGAGGTCATGAGAGGTGGAGGGAGTGGAGACAGACAGCCTAACAGAAGCCCAAAAACGTGGGGGTCGGAAGTGGCCGGGTCCCTGGAAGGAGAGGATGGAGCAGCTGTCCCCCCCACCCCCACCATGGTCAGGTCTCTAACCACAAAGGATGGATAGCTCCGAGCCCCACAGCACAGCAGACATGTGAGAGACCTCCCCTCAATCTGGGGGGATGCACTGGGGGATCAGGGGCCTCCTCTCCCAGACCCTCTCCCTCCCTGTGCCCTGCCCACCACCTCACCTCAAGCAAGGCAGCCCCCAGAATGAGATTCCTCACCAGGGAGACCTTCTCTCTGCCTCAGGCCTGCAGAAGACACAGGGACTGGGCCCTTGGGTTTTAAAGGCCTCTCTGCACTCCTCCCACGCTCTGGCCTGGGCCGGATCCAGGAGTCCTGACGGCTCAAACAAGAAGGCCTGTTTCTGCCCCTCAAGATCCCCAAGGACTTTTTGCCTCTTGTGTCCCGAAGCTGCGATTCCTTGGAGCGTGTCACAGTGCCCAGGCGATGTTCAGGAGAGACACCTAGGAGGGTCTAGCTAGGGCCACCCGCGGTCCAGGGCTCTCCAGCAGGGAAAGGAGAGCTGGAATCACCCTCCCAGGGTAGCCACCCTCCTCTGGCTACCCTGTGTCCCCGTGGAGTCCTCAGCCCATGGCTCTTGCTTGTATCTCATTCTGTCTCCCTGGGGCTCAACTCAGGGACAGCCATGGCAGCCAGGCAGCACCCCGTCTTCCTGTCGCTCCTGACCTGCCAAACCCCGACTCTGGCCTGCTCCTGGGGCGGGGCGACCCAGGAGCCTGTGAGATCCCCACTCTGGAGATGCTGGGAACTGTCGCCGGTGCCTCCATTTTGGCACCAGACTCCTTATGGAATTCCTACACTCCTTCTCTCTGGGAAGGAGATCCCACCAGGCTTGCGGTCAGAGCCATGCAGGCCACCGTCCCCACTCAGCCACGCCAGAGCTGTGTGACTCAGGGCAATCACCACACTTCTCTGTTCCTGTGATCTCGGAGAATAACGGCTCCCTGCTGCCCCAGAGGCTCATGGTGTGGAACGAACTGTATGAAATAAGGCCGAGTGGGAGGAGTGTGGCTCAGGGGTTGACATCACAGACTCTCAAAGAGCTTCAAGTCCTGGGTTCCGATCCTGGCTTCCCCACCACAAGCGACATCTCCTCCAGGCTGGCTGGACCTGTCCTGCCTCAGAGAGTCCTCGTGAGGATGAAGTGAATGAAGGCATTTCTAACAGAGCAGTGGTCAAACAATGCAAATAAGTAAATGATGAGTAACCTTCTAGAATGTTCTTGAGGAACATGGCTAACTGTTATTATTCTCGATTCTCCACTTCTGTAAATCCCAAGTCCCGCCCCGTCCCTGACCCTCAGGTGCACACACTTTTCTGAGTCGTGGGTGTGAGCTCCTCCTTCTCCTCCCTCTTGGCGTCTTTTCTCCCCTGTCTCCGCTCAGCTCACCGCAGCATCAGCGAGAAGCCCCTCCTTCCAGCCCTCACGAGCCCTTCTCTTCCTGAGACCTAACGGCCGGGCACCCCGTGGAACCTTGTGAACCCCAGTTCAATATAGAAAGGACCTACTGAGTATCTCCTACATGCAAGGCGCTCGGGGGTTCTGCTGTGAACAGGACAGAGGCCGGGCTCCCTCGTGCCCCACCTCAGGTTGAGGGAACAGATAGTAAAGGCGTCCGGGGGCACCAGCGGAGAGGTAGGGGGGACGCCTCTCTGTTCCTCGGGAACTTTTCTCTTTCCCCACCCGTTCCTTTCTCCACCTGCGGACACTCACAGGCCTCGCCGTCCAAAACTAAACAAAATGAGTGAGGAAAAGGAAGCCTTGCGTCTGCCGACCTGTCTCTCCAGCATTTTTTTTCCTCTAAAAGCCATGTTTCTGGGTATTTACCCCAAAGATACAGATGTAGTGAAAAGTAGGGCCATCTCTACCCCAATGTTCACAGCAGCAATGGCCACAATCACCAAGCTGTGGAAGGAGCCAAGATGCCCTTCAATGGACGAATGGATAAGGAAAATATGGTCCATGGATACAATGGAGTATTACGCCTCCATCAGAAAGGATGAATGCCCAACTTTTGCATCAACATGGACAGGACTGGAGGAGATTATGCGGAGTGAATTAAGTCAAGCAGAGAGAGTCAATTATCATATGGTTTCACTTACTTGTGGAGCATAAGGAATAACACAGAGGACATTGGGAGAAGGAAAGGAAAAAATGAATTGGGGGAAATCGGAGGGGGAGACGAACCATGAGAGACTGTGGACTCTGAGAAACAAAATGAGGGTTTTGGAGGTGAAAGGGGGTAGGTGGGGGGATGGGTGAGTCTGGTGGTGGGTATTAAGGAGGGCATGTACTGCATGGAGCACTGGGTGTGGTGCCTAAACAATGAATCTTGGAACACTGAAAAAATAAAATTTAATTAAGAAGAAATTTAAAAAAAATAAAAGTCACGTTTCTGGACCAAGAAGTCTCCACTCGCTCATCACACACTTCCTTCTGAACGCGGGGCCACCTGAAGCCTCCGCTGTGTCCCGGAGCCGGCTCCCAGGGACCCTGCCCCAACACACACACACAAAGCCTGGTGTTGCCCAAGCTTGGGCTTCACTCCCTATCCCCAACCCTCTCTCTCTCTCTCTGGCTTTGGGAGGCCACACTCCGCCATCTGCCCTTTGCGGCTCACCGCCACCTCTGTGGGCCCCCCACTTGCAGGTGTTTTCAAAGATCTGCCCTTGAAGTCTGCTCCTGTCTCTCTCCACCTCTCCCGGGCTGAGCGCAGCCATGGTCAGGGACTTAGGGCTTATCTCTCTGCAAATGTCCAGGGGCTAGCCTGGCCAAACAGTGCCCAGCACCAACTTTGATGCTCCCTGAAATGAGTAGGGGAAGGAAGAGAAAGCATGAGGTCAGGTCCAAGCATCTCAGTTTCCAGTCAGCCAGATTCAAATCTGGATGTCCCCTCCAATCACCAGCGTCCCCTGGCGCCCTCAGGTCGCTTTTACCAGCACCCGTAGAACGGGACAGTCACGGAACCAGCTTCATTCTGTAGCTGTGATCATTCGCTGAAGCGACGTGGACAGAGAGACTCAGCACAGTGCCTGGCACCTCGTGGGTGCTCCGTGAATCGTAACTATCATAAACACGATCGCTATTATGACATCGCGCTGAACTGAGAGCCATGCGCCGCCGAGGGCAGGCACTGTGTCTGCTTCCTGTCTGCGCTCCTGGCGCTTGGCACACAGCAGGTGCTAAGTTAGGTTTGCCAAGGAAATGCACGCCTCCTCCGGCTCCAGCTTCATACCCAGGGCCACGGCCCACACTTCATATATGGTGATTAAATATATACAATCATTACAGTTCAAATACCTGCCTGAGAGTGTAGCTCAGGTCCCGCAGGAACACCAGGACCAAACTCACGGTCTCCCCCACAATCCAGCCTCTCCCAGCACCCCCTTTTCCAGGTACCAGATTCAGTTAGTCATTCACACCTCAGTGATGAAAACACCCCAAGCACTTCCACCTCCACTGAGTGGAAGCCTCTGGAGGGCAGGATCCTTCTCCGATTCATTTCTGACCCCAGCACCTAGCGGGACATCGGACACCTGCTCAGCCCTCAAAAAGGATCTGTGGGATAAATTAAACATCTCATAAACGTGCTTGTTCTCTGGCACTTTCCTGAAGGCTCGTCCAGGGCCGAAGCCCCACAGAGGGCAGCCGGAGACAGCCGGGCACTCTCTCATCCCAAGACCAGAGCTGCCGAAGTGCCCTCGGTCTCATCAGAGGGTCTGTAGCCACCCCCGCCCTGGAGGCGGGCACATAGAGCAGGATTGCCCCGAGCTCTCTAACTGATGGGCCATAGTGAGTCCTCCTCCTCTAGGAAGTTCTCCTTGATTCCTCCTTCCACAAGAAGCTTGCCTGTCTCTGGAATGTTGTAGAACTCATCACACATACTGCCTACTCTAGCACTTCCATCTGGAGGGAGTCTCGAGGCTGATCAATCAGGAAGGAAGGAGGGAGGAACTCCATAGCTGGTGACCGTCCACAGTACCACCAGCACAAGGCGAGGTCACTATTTGGGATCTTGAAATCTCACAAAATCTTGTGAGGCATTAGGAGCCCAGACTGAGGGGCCGATGTTAGGTAGCTTATAAAAGGCAGACCCAAAGCCTAAAGCCTGGCCTGTCGCCTGGTCCATGTGGTTGCCACCCCCACAAAGGGGTTGACATCCAATAAAGACCTAATGATCATGATCTTCACAAGACCCCTGAGAAAAGTGTCATGTGGTTTCCTCATACTCTACATGGAGAAGTGAAAGTTGAGCTATAGTCAGAGTTCCTAATTCCTGATAATTGCTTAATGAGTGGAACTGGGTCTTGGGTTATAAACTTGCAGCCCTAAGCTAGCGCTGAGCTTGTCCTCCAACGATGCCTTTCAAAACGTTGGAATTAGCCGCTCACTTGTGAGCCTTAAGAGATCTCAGACAGAAATCCAGATTGCCAGCTTCTCATTTAAGGACCTGACAAGGGGCATCTGTCAGTCTTTGAGCGTCTGCCTTCGGCTCAGGTCATGATTCCAGGGTACTGGGATTGATCCCCGCACCCGGCTCCGTGCTCAGTGGGGAGCCTACTTCTCCCTCTCCCACTCCCCCTGCTTGTGTTCCTGCTCTCGATGTCTCTTGTGCTGTCAAACAAATAAATAAAATCTTTTAAAAATTTTTTTAAAATAAAATAACTAAAAGACCTACTGATCCCGGCTCTGCATTCCTACATGACAACAGCTGGCCAGAGAGGAGAAGGAGCTGACCCATCCGCTGGACATGTGTTTAGCTTTGCCTGGGTCCTTACTGTCTTATCCTTCATCAACTGGTCCTTACTGTCTTATCCCGCACCAGCCTCACGGTTGCTCCCTGCCTGGAGGGCCCTCTAGTGGCCTGTCATAGAACTCCAGTTTGAGTCCTACCCTCTTTCCGTCCCTCAGTAATAGGACAGGGAGCACCTTGAGAGCAGAGATCATCTCCTGCCTAAATTTATGCTTGAAGGGCTGAGCTCAGAGCCTAGCACACAGTAGGTCCTCAGTAAATGTACATTAGGGACACCTATCCCAGGACAAGGAGATCACGGAGGGCTTTCTAGAAGAAAAGACACCTGTAACTGAATCTTTAAAAGCAGGTTGGAGACATTGGAACTCTTGTACACTGTTGGTGGGAATGAGAAATGATACAGTTGCTGTGGAAAGCAATACAGTGAGTCCTTAAAAAATTAAAAGTAGCATCACCATATAACCCAGCAGTC